TGTAGCTAGTACTATTTTGCTGTGTTATATGTACAAATATTGTTATTCTTTGGCTTTCGAACGAAGTTGGAGATTTGTTTGTTTCTTTTTAAAAATTTTTTTAATTTTGCGCTTTCAGTTTGTTAGTGTTTTTTTTTTTGTTTGTTTTAATGTATTTTTCGTTTTCTTGGGCAGCTTTGTGGTTACATTGACGTGTGCGTTTCTCTCGATTTCTTAGCGAATTTCACATTTCAATGGCTCCTCGTTCACTTTCGGTTCTGTAGCATTTATATTGCACTTTATATTGCAATGCGACTATCATCGAAATGTCGTACTTTCTGCGTCACAACACAACACCAACACAAAAAAAACTCAGATCGTTTACTTTTCTTACTTTTCGGTCACTTGATTTGATTCTATATTGCATTCACCATCTGAAAGTCGAAGAAAACAAGAGAAGAAGGTTTGAGAAACAATGCTCCATTCGATTTTGTTCGTCAGAACCCATTTTGTTGTATAATCATAAAAAAATTACGAAAATTGCAGACACACACGGGCGCAGTTGAATGCGCTTCCGATTGCAACGAAATGGGTACAGTGGTAACTCGCTGTGGCGCATTTCGCATCTAAAATTGTCATGAATCAAATAAATGCGCAATTTTCTAAATAAATTACAATTTAAGGCGTAATAAGAACGTCCAAAAATATTATAACACCCAGATTTTCGTTATCGAGCGACCACTGTTGCGGGTTTTTTTTCAGACACTCATATTTGGGAAATAAGAAAAATTGAATAGCGTCGCGGCGATGTCGAAATTCTCGTCTGGCCGTTTGTTTCGCGATCGCCATTGTCGAGCTGATTTTATTCACATATTTTCGCCAGTCTGTGTGAGTGGCTGGCTGCTTTTTGCTTTTCTGCTATTTCAGCTAAATGTTTTTTATTTCTGCCATGCAGTTGATCTAGTTTCACTCACAGCAAACCAAAAAAAATGAAAAAAAGAAGCACATCTAAACAAGAGAAGCAACTACAGTGACTGTAGAGTTGAATGGTCAAAGTTCAGTCTTTTCAGTGCGTTTGCCCTGTTAACTTGTTACATTGGCCAGGTCGAAAGCCCGAAATTTCGCACACCCGCACCGCACACAGACACACGTCCAACTGAGGCAATAACGGTGCTCTGCTTTTGGCCCTCAATCGCCCGCCCCTCCCCCCCCCCCCTCCGTTGGCCACGCTTTCTCGTTCCGATTGAGAATCCCGAGCGATTCTCGAGCGCCGCTCGACGGACCAACAATTAGTGCCAGCACATATACACCGGATACCATGCCATATAGCAGATGTGCGATATGTGTACGAGTATCTATCTGTTTGACTGCTTGAATGCCTCCCTACTCCTTTCCGCAGGACAACTGCAGCCTCTTGTGCAGTTTTTGGTCAATATCTGAGCGAGCCACTGGGAAATTCTGTCTCATTTGGAAGTGGCATAAATTCAGCTAAATTGTACTTATGAAACAATTGTATATGAAATATGGATATGAACTGAGAACTCCAAGTTATTATTTTGCCTTTGCTGTTCTATGCTGAATATATGCTTACATATGAACACTATATTTACATTATTCCTAAACAAAACAAATACTGCTCTACAAGCGATTTCATCAAACTCTGGCCAATTTGTTTACAGATAAAACAAATAAGCCAAGCACACAATTCAGATTCAGTTAGGGCAGTCCCGACATTGAAAATTAACAGGAAACCAAATCAAAATAATTATAATGTGGGCGATGAGCGAAGAAACAAACTTTTCAATTATATAGAGCCTTGGCGTATTGAATACTTTGTCTAATTGAAAACAAGTGAAAACAAGCGTTTTCAAAGGTCAAATCAGTTTAAGTATATGTAACTATGCAATTTCCTTCGACGGCAATGACTGACTGTTGAAAATTACGAAATAAATTGCCATAAATATCAAGGAAGTGTCCGGGCCGGCAATCCTAACTGCCGGGAGTCCATTATTTTGACAGACAAGTCGGGATCCTCGGGTTACTGGGTCTCTATTAGAGGGAAAGCCATCGGGAACAGGCACTTTGATTAATGTTGTGCACGTCAGTGACGCGAATTACTTAAAAAACCATTGAACAACCAGGCGGGTCAACAACTAGACGAAACGGCGGAGGGCGGGGTAGGAAGTGGCAACGGGGCAGGCGGAAAAGCTCAACTAACGACTGGAAACTAGGAAACGCGCATCGACAAAGACAGCAACAACAACGAGCGTAATAATAAGAATAATAATAATAGTAACAGCAACAGCCACAGTGGGGCTACGATGGCTGTGGGTTCAATCACCTTTGGGAATTACGTACCGGTTATTATGGTTATTATTATTATTATCCTGCCCACAGTCGTACACAGTTGGCCTACACACAAGAACGCGAGGGTAGCGAAGTGAAATGTATACTTCGAGTTGATAATCATATAATACATATATCCAACTGAATAATATAATACAAGCCTTTTGTTCTGTACCAAAAGAACGCCTTTAATTCGCTGCACTTGTATTCCAAGTAGCTAAATGTCAAGGTTTGTTTTAAATTGACGCCCCTTTTCTCGCGGTGTACCTACGCTCTGTTTGATTTAGTGAGTGAGTTGGATTTCTATACGTTTAATTTATGTGCGTCATTTGCTTCCTATTTTTAATGTCTTTCGGCCGCTTGAAGTACTTTTTCTTATATATTTTTTTCTTTTTCAGGCGCACACACGTCGTATAATTGATATGCATACTATCGCACACGCTCGTATGTGTACAATTGTATTGCCTATTTTTATGGTCCGCGAGTCCTGTTTAGTGTGCGTGTGTGCGTGTGTGCGCGTGGTACAGTGAACGCTGGCCTGGCGAAAGGTGACGAGTGTGTAATTTATGTGTTTCATATGCAATACAATTGAGTCAATTGGCTAAGTCGGGGAATTATCGAATTAATATCAAAATTAGGTGCATATCATATATGCGCTACCTTGCCCACTCTTCTAAATGATGATTATTGCCATTTAGCTAAATGGTAAGTGCATGAAGCAGTTTCCCTTGTACAGCGCGTTCACTGTAGCACACATAAGCACTTCTGCGGACACGCGCGCATACAAACGCATTCACCTGCTGCAGGCGGGAACCCAGAAAAGTATGCAGCAGAAAGGAGAGCATATGCAATAAACACTCTATGCCACACACACACACGCGCATTTGAGACACACGCTTGCAGCGAGATATTAACCGTTACGGATTGACGTTCGCCTGGCGGATTTTTGACCTTGACATGTCGCCCGTGGTTGTAATTGTAGTTGTTTTCGGTGGACCGGAGTGGCGAGCATGTCAAAAACTGGAGGAAAATCGGAGAAAATCGAACGGGGGAGCGGGCGGAAAACTGGGTCGCAGATAGAGGTGGTCATTAATTATTCAGTCGCAGCATAATTATTCGACCGTTGTGGTGTGCGTGTTATTTATAGACTAGCCAAAACGAAACAAAATACAAAAAAAAACCACAAACTCAGATACTACAATAAAATAATACACACATAATGTATGCACAAAGGCGGAAGAGAGACAGAGCGACGGCGAGGGAGAGCATGTGGAAGAGCGAAAGTGAGAGCGAGAAAGAGCGAGAGAGCATCGTAAACTTATTAATACCAGTACCACACATTGAACCGAATCCCCGTTATTGCAAATTTCCCCCCTCAAGCGTATAAAAAAATGGATGCTGTGAATTATGTATGCTCCACACACAAAAACACATACACACCTATTGCAACTGCAGTGTTTTCACACCGAAAAAAAATCAGCTGGCTGCTGTACCGTTACGCTCACACACACACACACACGTGCCCTTTCGGCAATTATTTGACTTTTCCTGTACTTTCTTTATATCATCATCTGTATTTACAACAACATCCCCTGCACACACGCATACAAGTGCAAGCAGGAGGACAACCACCACACACACACACAGATAGGAGAGACAAAAAAAACTAAAAGGTTCAACGTTAAATAAGTTTAATGTCCCTTTTTTAGTCCTGCAGGCAAATCAAGGTAAATTTTCGTGTTTCTTCACTTGATCCTTTTCACGTTTTTCGGTTTTTCATCTGCACTTCACCGACACCGACTGTATTTCATGCTACACACGCACACGTACACACTCACTGACAAAAAGGACATGCGTTTGGCACAGCCTTCGGGCATTTTATGTTTAATATAAATAAGTAGCGGCAGCACGTTGGAGAATTTATATTACGGGTTTCTGCTCTGCTCACGGGAACACTAGTTCTAGTTGGGAACAGTGTGGCCAGAGGCGCGCAGCGTGTGCAGCCCAATTAGAAGTCCTGGGCAAAAGTTCGAAACGAGCGCGGGAATAGCTCTGCAAATATTGTTGTCTGCACTTCAGGATTCAAAAGCAAAGTTTTAACAATAATAGAAACATTTTATTTAGAAAATGGCAACTATATTTGTGCGGTAAAGGTCGCGTAAATAGCCATGCCAGTTGTATACTTATCGATATGTATTTATCGAATGGCAGCACTATATCTATCGATATTTAATTGCAGTTATAAGTTAAACAAGCAAATAAGAATTTAATTTAAGTATTGAATTTTAAGCCCTTTTTCTGTCTTCTAGATGGCAACTAATTAATTATTTAAAGTCATTAAAAATAAACCCACTTTAGTTTAGACTCAACTACTTATTTAATATATGTAGTTTCCTAAAAATAATGTGGTCCAATTTTAATTGTTGGGAATAACTGCAGTAAACCTAAATAAGTTTATCTTTGAGGCAAATTCACATTCTACATAACATTTAGCCAGTTTTTGCAATATTTCATCATTACAAAAGGAGCGGGTCAGAAATGATTACAGCACAATGCATTTTAAACATACAAAACGAAAGATGTATTTATTTTTGGTACGCTAGCGTCAGGCCGTCCAAACGATTGAGTTGTCGTACAGGATTTAAGTTTGTTTCGGAGACTGAATTACGGATTTCGGGCGGGTCACATTCTTCAGATGGCAGCGGCGAAACGCAGCGCGGAAAAAAAAGTGCTTACATGATAATTTTTTGTTTAGAAATAGCTTTAACAGTAGGACAGTAGTGGCGGAAGCCCCTCGGAATCAGATATCCAGATCCCGGTGTCGGGGATGTGGACACCTCTACAGGTCGCCGCCGCCGCGTTTTTGGAGCATCTGAGCGAATCGCTGGGTGATAAGCAGCGATGTGTCGATGAAGCGGTCGACGCAGTTGCTCAGGCACGTCTCGGTGGCGTGGTCCAGCTTGGTGCTCGGCTTCCCGATGCACTTCTCCCAGCAGATCTCGTTGAACTCATGTATCTGGCGGGGATTACAAGTGGCGGGGGTCATATTGTTATGATTACGAACCGATCGGTGGCAACTGAAATTTGTATGGAACTCACCTGCGCGTTGACCTGCGCCTTCTCTTTCTCGATCATGAGGAACTCCTGCAGCTCCTTGTCGTTGCCGGAAACGTCAAAATCGGACATCTTGTGAATTTCAGTGAACAATCTGCAAATCAACCGGGGTCCGGAATTAAATATATTTTAAGGTTTGAGGTTATATAAACGGCAGTGACAGCTGTGACCAGTGGAGTCGAAAATCGATGTGTATTCGATAGAAAAACTAATCGATGCTAGAAATGCCTGGAATAATGCACTGTTCGCACTGCTTTCACATATATATATGAATAAAATATAACATTTTCCACCATTGTATTGCAAGTAATAGCTTTTTTTTGGTATCCTATTTTTGTTATTTTTGAACCAAAAACTAAGTTTACAAAAGCAAAAGCAAAAGCAACATGCGAATGTATAGCAAAAACGGTATACCATTTTGAAGCTTTGTTTCATCTATTAAAAGCGAATATTTTTATGCCGTCAACAATATTTTGAAAGAATTTAATTCTAAGGAATTTAAATTAAAAAGAATTTAGTCGTTATCAATGTATCAATATGTTTCGAACTGTCGAAAAAGAACTAGGCCACCGCGTTGCCAACTATTGTTTCACAGGGTTCGATAGCATCACCAGGGTTCGATGACATAACTACGAAGTGGCTCGGCCATCGGGCAATCGATATCGGGAGGTGTAAATTGTCCGATAAATTTCACAGCTATTCGTGGCTTGTATTGTATAGCTTCGCAATTGCATCTTCGTTTTGGCTACAGGCCCACTTTAAGATCGAAGGCGACTGTAAACAAGGTGCGACTACTTCGTCGGCGGTGGCACACAGCTAGTCCAGTGGCCCTGCCACCACCCAACCCCCAAACTGAGGGATCTTGTTGGCGTTTCGGGTGTCTAATTTCGGACCTCTGCACTGTGATTTCCGATTTTCGTTACTTTGCTGACGGATCGCCCCAGTGGCGAAGTAGTTCTTCCGCGGCGAGTTGGCACGTCGACGGCGATTGCTGGATAGGCGATCGGCGCCGGCTACGGAGAAGAAGCGGTCTGGGTGGTTCTCCGCCAGCGGCATCCATGGAACTCCCGCTGGAGTTCGGAGCATCCTTGCAACTGCGTTGGAACTCTTCTTAAGGGTAAGAGAATCGCCGATTCCGGGAGCATTCGCAGTATTCCGAAAAGTAGCAGTACCCGAGTGCAACTCAAAATAGGCACGGTGATCATTGGGCAACAAGAAGAAGACAGTGGGCGGCAAATTCCTAGAAGAGCTCCCATGATCTAGTTCCAGTTCGGCCGCAAGAGGAAACTGCTCCAGCCAAAAACTGGGATTGCAGGAGGAGCAGAAAGCACCCGGCCCAGAGGCATCACTCACCGACAATCCACTCATGGCCCTGCCCAACGGGGGAGAGGATAGAATGGACGACAGCAGCAGCGGACGCACTTCGCTGGCGGACAGCGCCAGCATGACAAACTCCTCCCTGCGCAGCGGCACCTCCTCACAGAGCATCCACACCAACGATGACACAATCCGTGTGTTCAACTTCACCACCGGCGAGTTTGAGCGCTTCCATCCCAACATGCTGTGCGAGGAGATCTGCAATACCATGTGCCGCCAGTTGGGCATTGCCCCAATTGCCCAGCTACTCTACGGGATAAGGGAGCACTCCACATCGCGCCGTTCATCGCCGCTGGTGCGTTTGGATCTGACGTGGTGCCTGCCCGGCGAACGACTCAGCTGCCAGCTGGTCTACTGCTTCCGGATGCGGTTCCGAGTGCCCGAATTGGACAGCCAGCTGGAGCTGATCGACGGACGGAGCCACAAGTTCCTCTACCGCCAGATGCGCTACGACATGCGCACCGAGCAAATCCCGGAGATTCGCTATCCGGAGCACAAGGACAAGTCAACGGGTCTGGCAGTGATGGACATGCTGATCGACGATCAGGAACAGACGGAGAATCAACAGGCGATACGCTCCATTGAGAAGCTTTACAAACTGTATTTGCCACCGAGCTTGTGGCGCGCCCACAGCTTCTTTGTGGGCTCCAAGATACGCGAGGTGTTCCGCAATCTGAAGGCCAATTCGCCGAGTGTGGAGCGCCTGAAGTGGCACTACGTGCACCAGGTCTCCCACCTGGCGCCCACCTATATGACCGAACAGTTCACTTGTAACGTTCAGTATCTGCCCAACGAGGAGGTGGCCCGCGGTAGCGGACCCATCGGCACCAGTCTAGCCCACTCCACGTCGTCGCTGGCCAGCTCCGGTTCCACCAACACTCTGTCCACGCTCACCACCAACAGCCATTCCGTTGCACTCGGCGGCAGCGGCAAGAAGTCCAAACGACGATCCGCCAGCGGTGCAATCGATGTCTATGTGCGGGTCTTTCCACACGACTCGCTGGAGCCGGGACTCAAGGTGGCCAGGGTCACCTCCGAAGCCACACTCAAGGTAATTGTGACCATGAAGCACATAAATGAGGTACAATTCAGCTAAGCTTCCGTTTGAAATGTATAAATCTTCTGGTTTTCCCACCAAAACCAACAATATTTTTTTTTAAAACATGTTCACTGATATGACCCACTGATATGGGTCTTTCAAGCTTGTTGAAATGTTCATACTTATGTAGCTTTACTAGCAGCCAACTGACAATCTCCTTTCCTGTGCAGTGGATCCTGGTTGGAGCCGTGGAGGGAATTTTCATGATCTCCAAAATCAACGACACCTCTGTGAGGCTGGAAATCGTGGGTCTGCCCAAGGGCTACGAGATGCAGTTTCGGACGGAGAAGGAGATGAAGTCCTTCATCTCCTACCTGGGCATCTACATCAGGTGAGTCCAAAAGCGTCGGTTTCGAGTTGAGTAGTGTTTTCCCCAGAAAGTAACAATTAGTCGCCAATGTTGTTATTCTAATCACTCTACTGATGTTAAACATCCATTGATTTATAAAAACCGCACTCGATTCCACGAATGCATTTCATAAAATAATACGGAAGCAAACAATAAATATTTATATTTAAAAACCCATTACAGTTGAGTCTATCGTAAACAAGGCATTTGATAACACGATTAAAGACAGTGCTTGAAATGCTTACCCATTTCGGTTTAAATGACCCTTTGGTTTTTGTTAAATTCAAATCGTTTTACGTTTCTAATCTAATCACAAATCAGTCTTTGTTTCATGAAGCAAATTTGAGTCCTAAGCTAAGCTAAATGTTAAGTTTTATGAAATGATTCGATGTTAATGCTTGGAATCTCTTCCAGCTCAGAAAAGTTGACTTAATTTAATAATTACGCACTAATCAAGTTTAAAAAATGCATGCTATGGAAATTGAAAAGCCAGCACTTGCTCCATGTGCCGTCCTTTATAAATAATTCTCAATAAAGTTGATTGCACATAATCAATCCATTCTTAGACTCATACGTAATCGAAGAAATGACGTAGCAATGAACTGATTCCGAGCTGCGAATCACTTTCCCAATAGCAAATAATAGTAATAATGCCAAGTTAAAGCACCCGTAACTCATACCTCCCATCCGTTTCCCCTTTCAGATTGTCCAGCAAATGGATGCAGGACCTGTGCCACACCTACCGCACGCCCTCCCTGGAGGAGCTGAGCTCCCTCCACTGCCATGGACCGATCGGCGGTGCCTACTCGCTGATGAAGCTGCACGAGAACGGGGACAAGTGCGGCAGCTACATTGTACGCGAGTGTGACCGGGAATACAACATATACTACATCGATATCAATACCAAAATGTGAGTACACACGCCCACATTATCAGTTACTTCCTCGGCTCTTATCACGCTTCCAAATTGTGCTGTATGCGGTGCTGCATAAATACTGGGTGCTATTTGCTACGAGGCTATAATGTAGCGAAGCCATTGCCATGTGAAAATGGCAACAGTATAATGGGTGTATCTGAACCGTAACCCTTTCTTTTCCAGCATGGCCAAGAAAACCGATCAGGAGCGTTGCAAAACAGAGACGTTTAGGATCGTGCGCAAGGACTCGCAGTGGAAGCTGAGCTACAACAACGGGGAGCACGTACTGAGCTCGCTGCACGAAGTGGCGCACATCATCCAAGCGGACAGTCCCGATCGCTATCGCATACCCGCCTCCAAGTACGATAAGCCGCCGCTGCTGCTCCTGCTGCTGCCAAAGAACCTCAAGGCCAAAAAGACTGACCTGCAACTCAGCGAGGCGGAGCTGCAGCGCCGCAATCCGCAGATCTTCAATCCCAGGACGGATCTGCAGTGGTATCCAGGTGGGGCATACTATCCATTGTCCTGGTTCGTTCTGAGTTTCTAATCGCTCGCCTTTCGCAGATTCAATTTCGCTTAGCGACGATGGCATGATGTTTACAATGCGCGGCGATTGGATCCAACAGAGTCCAGTAAAGGATGTCTCTGTGACAATGAAGATGCTGAAGAGCGACGGCAATTTCATGGAGTTCTTTAGTCTGGCGCAGACCTGGAGCCTCATCCAATCGCCGCAGTTCCTCAAGCTGTACGGCCTAACGCTCGCCGATCCGTACACGATGGTCATGGAGTATTCGCGCTACGGCCCGCTTAACAAATTCCTGCATTCGACGCCCAATGTCACGCTGCATTGTCTTCTGGACCTGATGCACGGATTGGTGCGCGGCATACACTATTTGGAGGACAACAAGATCATCCACAACTACATACGATGCAGCAATCTGTACGTGACCAAATACGATCCAAATTCATACGTGCTAGATGCCAAAATCAGCGATCCCGGCTATCCGCGTCCCTTCCGAGAATCCGAGTGAGTAACCCCCTCGCATCTTGTTCGTCTTACCTTGTAAAAGTATTTAAGTTGAATGCTGAAATGGCAAAATCATCAATTCGCATGAGCTAATAAAGGTATTTATATTGGATTCTTTCTACTTGCAGCTCGCCGTGGATACCTGTTAAGTATTATCGCAATTTGCAGGCGGCCAAGACGGATCAGTTTGCCCAGCTGTGGGCGTTCGCCACCACTATATACGAGATCTTTTCGCGCTGCAAGGAAGATCTGAGCAGCCTGGGTCAGGAGCAGCTAATCAGGCAGAAAAATCTCGATGGCAACATACTCAAGATGCTCGATCAGGACCTGTGTCCTGCGCTGATCTTTGAGACAATAATGGATGGGTGGTCCGATGACGAGACTAAGCGGTTCAGTCACCACGACATATTCTCCCGCCTGAATACGATCAAATCGGAAATACTGCCCAATTATATGCCGCCACCCGAGATCGCAACGAGTAAGTTCAACGGGCGAAAGCCTCAAGAGATTGGCAAGCATTTCAATTGTGGCTACGCTTTCATTTTCAGATGGAACTGGGGACGAGGAAGTGGTAGATAGAAGCGACATATCCCTTCTTCCCATGCCGAGCTCAAAAATGTTGACGGTAATAACGCTGACCAGCGAGTGCCGAGTGATCTACAACATGGAGAACATGATCGGCCGGGGTCACTATGGCACTGTGTACAAGGGTCATCTGGAGTTCAACGACAAGGATCAGCCGCGGGAGCAGGTGGCCGTCAAGATGCTGAACGCCATGCAAGTGTCGACCGACTTCCATCGCGAGATCGGCATCATGCGCACCCTCAGTCACCCCAACATAGTCAAGTTTAAGTACTGGGCGGAGAAGTCACACTGCATCATCATGGAGTACCTGCAATCCGGTTCCTTCGACATCTACCTACGCTTCACGGCGCCCAATCTCAATAATCCACGCCTCATCGGCTTCGCCTTGGACATTGCAAACGTGAGTGGACTGCGAACATTTATGGCTTAAGCTTTGGAACTGAACAAGTTTTCGGAACAAGGGAAAATCAAATGCGAAAATACATATATTTCGAGGGTTTTGCATCATAACTTTACCAAATATGGACACGCAGCTGAGGAAATGACTCTTTTTTAGAAAGCCAATATATTTTATAACGAGTTGAACGAGATATGGCAATTCATATTTGGACCACTCATTCTATTTTTATGAAAAAAACGACAACTTTCTGCCGGAAATGAGAAGATCTACTTTTGCAAAAAAACTAGTTATTTACTGTGTGTCTTTTCATCATAACTTGACTAAAAATTATCACAAAGCTACAAAAATGACTGTTTTGTGCAGCTTATTATTCATACTAATTATCCCTATCACTTTTCGACAGATTTGGGGAATTTCATTTTTGTGCCAGTTTTCGCATTTTCGATAAGGGGTACCCCTTCAAAATTTGCAAAAAATTTCAAAAAATTAGCGTGTCCATTTTTGAACGCAGTTTGATTGGAAATTTAATTACGAACTCAACGAGGTATGGCATTCCATATTCAAACGATTATTTTTGAAGTGGTGGCCAAAAAACCGATTATTTTATGACCCAAATTCAAAAATACGGTTTTTGGCAAAAATGCTGATATTTTTGATGGGCATTTTAATCATAACTTGGCTAAAAATGATCGTAAAGAAAAAAGAATAACTGTTTTGAGCAGCTAATTACCAATGCTAACGACCCCTATCACTTTTTGATAGATTTTGGAAAAATAATTTTTCGGTCAATTTTCTCATTTTTTGTAAGGGGTAACATCATCAAAACTTGCAAAAAATTGCAAAAAATTAGCGTTTCCATTTTTGAACGCAGTTCGATTGGAAATTTAATTACGAGCTCAACGAGGTATAACATTCCATATTTTGACAATTATTTTTGAAGTTGTGGCTCAAAAGCAGATTATTTTATGACCCAAATTCAAAAAAATGGATTTTGGCAAAAATGCTGATATTTTTGATGGGCATTTTAATCATAACTTGGCTAAAAATGATCGTAAAGAAAAAAGAATAACTGTTTTGAGCAGCTAATTACCAATGCTAACGACCCCTATCACTTTTTGACGGGTTTTGGAAAATTCATTTTTCGGCCAATTTTCGCATTTTTTGTAAGGGGTAACATCATCAAAATTTGCAAAAATTGGCAAAAAATTTGCGTTTCTATTTTTGAACGCAGTTCGATTGGAAATTTAATTACGAGCTCAACGAGGTATAACATTCCATATTTTGACAATTATTTTTGAAGTTGTGGCTCAAAAGCAGATTATTTTATGACCGAAATTTGAAAAAACGGATTTTTGGCAAAAATGCTGATATTTTTGATGGGCATTTTAATCATAACTTGGCTAAAAATGACCATAAAGATGAAAGAATTACTGTTTTGAGCAGCTTATTATCACTCCTATAACTTTTTGAAGGATTTTGGGAAATTAATCATTGGGTCAATTTTTGCATTTTCGATAAGGGGTAACATCATCAAAATTTGCAAAAAATGGCAAAAAATAATTTTGTTAAAGTTCGAACACAAATAGATTTGGAATTGAATTACGATTATTATTATTATTATATTTGGCCATGGCTTCCCAATGGGAAGTCATAAAACTGACCACTTTGGACGGGCAAAAGGAAAACAAGTTTGGTCTAATACTAAATGCAAATGCAAATGCTTCTCGCCGCAGGGCATGAAATACTTGTCCGGCATGGGTCTGATCCACCGGGACCTGGCCGCCCGCAACATTTTGGTGGATCACAACGGCGATGGCGATTGCGTCAAAATCTCAGACTTCGGCCTGGCGCAGTTCGCCAATTCGGATGGTTATTACTACGCGAAAAGCAAGCGGGAAATTCCCATTAAATGGTAAGGACTAATATCTTGATATAGGCAGTATCCGCGACTAAATATCTTCGCTTCCCCAAACAGGTACTCTCCGGAGGCCATCTCCACCTGCAGATTCTCATCGTACTCGGACGTTTGGAGCTATGGCGTGACGCTATTTGAAATGTTCTCCCGCGGCGAGGATCCCAACCTGGTGCCCATGCAGACATCGCAGGAGGACTTCCTCAACCGCCTCCAAAGCGGCGAACGGTGAGTAATCTTGAGACAAGCGCTTTAGGTTATCACCAAGTTCAGCCGAACTTATTCACATGCGATAACCTTGGCAAAGATTAAACCAAATTTGACAGCTGTGGGAAGCTAGATTAGTTTCCCAAGAATTCACAAGCATTTTAGAGTAAAAACAAAACCTTCGTTTGCTTGCAGATTAAATCGACCGGCCAGTTGTCCAGACTTTATTTACGACCTAATGCAGCTGTGCTGGCACGCGACGCCGCGTTCGCGGCCCAGTTTCGCCACCATAGTGGACATCATCACAAGGGAGGTGGCCACCAAGGTGGCGCATCCGAGCGATGGCCACCAGTTGCCGCCGAATCAGCCGGCGGATGCCGAGTGACTGGAGACGATGGTTGCGCAAGCAACCACAGAATGATATACACATACCTAGGCATAAGTTCTTTTAAGCTGTTAGCATTTAAACTGTACGTTTTTAAAACAACGCAAGAAAGCCCCAAACCACTTGACGCAATCCTTGGCTTAAAGCGCTTTCGGAAGAATCACAATGCCCCCACACCAAATCCAGAACACTCACGCCTTCGCAAGCCTTTTTGGATTCTCGCCAGATCTTAGTTTTATTGTTGTGCTTACCACAGGCCACCCACTTCCTTGTCATTGCGCCCCCTCTTGACTAAGCGGATGTCCAGACTTTATATATATTCATATATATATATATAGATATATATATATATGTGTATATATGTATATGTATAAAGAAATTCTCAACCTACTTTGTGTTATACATTTTAGACCACTTTGTTAAATATTGTTAAGCTTGAGCTTCAACTCTTTTCTTGTAATGCCCACGCAAAAACACTAAACTAAATATAACGTGTAAATAATAATTAAACTAGTTAAAGTTAAGGGCTTAAACGAGACGGCAACACACGGTAATTTACACGATATGCGGCGGCTGGACGGACGATCGAAAGGATCCGGTCTGTTCGGCGGTTCTATTAAGTTAAATCTACAAGAAACATGTGCACATATAGTCCTAAGGTATGTCAATTAATGTTGATCAAATGCCATTTTAACCTACAATACTTCGAAACAGAAACGAATTATATATTTACAAGCTATACAAGCCACTATACAAGCCGGTATATGCACAACCACACACCCGCAGGCACAATAACTTATTATTGATGTTAACGAGAAAGGATATTTCCGAAATAAATCAATTTTCTTACGTGTTTAAATGCGAACTTTTATTAACTCGTTAAGTGTATTTGGGATTAGTCGTAGCTCTTGGTTTGAAGCATCTATTCTAACATTTCCACATGGGAATTCTTATCTAGAACTTCATATGCGCATATAAGGGGTACCTACAGAAACGAAAGGGATAGAGGTACATTTGGAGAACCTATTTTGCTCATCGTGGTTCCTAGTCTACTTGTGGCTCATTAGGGGCACAAGACAGCGAGTAGATATTTTAGAATTGTTTAGTGGAATATCCGTGCTGATTTCAACAGTTTGCATTTACTTTCAGACACGATTTTAACAGCTTTTTGTGAAATTCAGTTCTTATTACGTATATGTACAGATGTTTACTTATCCTCATTTGCCTATGCTTCACTTATATCTAGTCATTATCTAATGCCGGCTCAGATTTCAATCCTTATCCGGTCTTTCCTTATAGCCTAGTCTTCAAACGGCGGTTTTTGGGCAATATCATCAAGAATATTGTCGCAAGATATTAAATAAGGACTTGATTATCACTTAGAATATAAATTCCTTATGTCCTAATTAAGGATCAGATACACATCCCACTGCTTAAATAGAAGTTAAATATAAGTCCCAACTAGTTAGTGGGCAACTATCTTATACTCTTAAAGAAACTCTCTGAAGGTCCATAAAGACTGCCCCAATTTACTGAACAAACTGGTCTGCATATGGATTTCTTACAATTAAATGCAATTCCTACTGAAACAATTAATTGGCCCTAACAAGCCTGTTGTGTTAAATTTGAAGTGCAAAATTGAAGCATCGTAACTAGCTGCTATCTTCTACTCGAAGCCAAACTTTCTGGAGCGCCGTACAGCTGGGTTGCTTCTGGACCGTACTATCGATGGCCTAAAACGACTAATGCTTATAGACGAATCCGCATGACGATAGAGAACGATCTGCAACCGGTTACTTTGGCCAGATCAGCATTGGAATTTCGACGGGTGCTATGAGCTCTCCGCGTTCTTCTTCTTGAGCGTCTCCAGGACGCCGGCGAAGTTGGCCGTCTTCTTTTTGGCCGACTTGGGCGTGGACGTCTGGCTGCGGACGCGCATTTGGGTGGGGGCCACATCGTCGCTAAAATCGAAGTCGTTGGCCTTTTGCGGTCTGCAGATACAGGAGGTTAAGCCATAAGTTATGAATTCAACTCTTTAGCTTGGGATGCAAGCAATCTTACTCCTGCTCAATGGCATCGGTGGCCTGCTCGAGTTCCTTGCTATTGCCGCCCGAACCCGCCTCCGGCGACGGAGCCCTGCGTCCCGGGAATTGCCACTGCAGTTCCGGAATATTTCCGGACTCCAGCATCAGATAGTAGCTCTCCAGCTCCTCCGCGTTGGCGGAAAACTTGTCCGCCGTATTCGCCGCCGGCTCCACATCCGTTGCCATCTTTCTCTTGGCTTCAATCAATCTAAATATACTGGGAATTTGTGTTTATTTGCAAAATAAAATGTATAGTCTACGCGAACTTTCTGGCAAGAAATCGATAATTTGATTTGGCTTGTTGTTCGATAAGGGGTCTATCGATTTTCGGGCTTAGTGTTGCAAAGTGGCAGAACTGGGCGGTTCATTTGAATGCCTTCGCTGCTCGAAATGGATTTTCTATTTATAGTTTTCATTATTCTTTTCTTTATTAAGTACACACCCATACCCGGAATGATGCCGTTGCGAGTGCACACATCTTCAAGGATTGTTCTCGACGGCGTATTGTTTGGCTTAGGGGGAAGAATAATATTATCTTGTTTAAACTTGTACTTTTTATGGAGAAAATTTGAGATAATCAGTTTTTATAGGCTTTTCACTTTGTCTGTGATCCAAATATTATTGGTCTATGCTAAGAAATGAAATCAACCATAAATAGAGCTTCGTTTATAGTTCTTATTATATATAATAAGATATAAATGTATGAACAAACTTTTACAAAAAAAATTACAAATTAAAACTGGCAATTTGCATTACACTGGAAAATCAGCTAAAAGCGACGGCATAGATAAGAGCCCGACCGCATGCACATGGAAAAGCCATCGATTATTCATTTTATTTGTATTTATTTACTTTGTGATTACTAAATTCTTAGAACTTTATTCAAAATCATCCTCGCGCGTCGTGCTGCCGTCTCTGCTGCTCCGTTCCGTCCGTTCCTGCACACATATATATATATATATCATATATCTCAGTTGATCTGATCTGATCGGGTCCACAACCGATTGCTGCCGGACACGGATATCCCTGTGGTGCTCCTTGTTCCTCACGAGACCGCTGATCATTAACTCGTTGCGGCTGGGTGTTTAGCGTTCTTTTCTATGACTTACACGTACCATACATATACATAAGTATTATTATTATTATAATTATAATTATTATATTGTTGTTTGCTGTTTGCTTGCTTTGTATACTCGTATATAAAAAAGAATAATCGTACATATTTAATTTAATTAATTAAAAACACAATTTGATTGCAAAAAGAAAGGTTTCTACAATACGTAATTAAATACGGATACGTCCTGATCGTTGGTATTGTTGCCGCCACCGCCGCCGCCTCCACCGCCGCGATTGGAGGAGCCGGAGGATTTGTTGGAGCCGTGGGCGGCGATGGTCAGCTGGTTGGCCTGATGAATCACCGAGGTGATGTCGCTCTGCGACGCCGAGATATCCTTGCTGGTGAGCACATCGCTGCTACTCGATCCCGACGAGATGTGTCGCTCGGCGATGCCGTACTGGATCGGCTGATAGCCGTGACTTGGATTGTACGTGGCCGAGTATGGCATGTAGATGGGCGGGTTCGGGAGCGGCCCGATGTCGCTGGTGATGCTCTCGGTGTCCGCATGGCTTAGCGCATGGCCGCCATGCCCGTGCGGCAGCTGGTGCGGATGCAGATGTCCTCGGCCCAGCAGATTGGGATTGCGCTCCTCGTTCACCACGTAGTAGCACTGCTCCGAGAAGGTCAGCTTGTTGACCGTATGCTTGATGTAATTGCTGCGCAGCATCGCTGAGACGATCCTTCGCGCCTCCCGCCTGTCCTGCACATCCTCCACATTCTCCAGCACCCAATTGACCGCATCGGCACCGATGAACGCGTTGGGGATCGTGATCTTTAGCCACATGCGATCCCTGATCTCCAGGCCGCTGTCCGGCTTCGTCATCGCCTTAACGATCTCCTCGAGGTTGTTCTGGTCCAGTCGCTCCTTGATCGGCTCCGCAATGTCGGCAATAATACTGTCGTGCGATGTGAGGGCCTGGGTGTGCGCCACCCAGGCACCGGGATCGATGGGTCGCACCGGCTCCGTGCGCGGAATGGTGAAGTAGCCCTTGGGATTGGGATCCCAGCACTTGGCCACCACCAGCTTGATGGGCCCCGGCTTTTGGACCACTTCTCTCAGCACCCGAACGGCCTCGTCGTTGGTCATGTTCTCGAAGTTCACATCGTTCACCTGCAGGATCATGTCGCCCGGCTCGATGCGTCCATCGAGAGCCACAGCGCCGCCCTTCATGATGCTGCCCACGTAGATGCCGCCGTCGCCGCCGCGATTCGATTGGCCGACAATGGATATGCCCAGAAAGTTGACGGCCTCCATGTTAATGGAAACAGTGATGATATTTAGGGACATGGTCGAGTCGGTTATGGAGCTGTAAGAGGAGGTGCGCGACATGCTGGGCGCCCGTTTTTTGCGCCTCTGCGGCTTCTTGCGCACCTGCAATCGCTGTACGCTGCTGTAGTCGGTCATATCGCGGTCCAGCGTCAACTCGGATTCGGTGCCAAAGAGACTGGTCGAGTCCAGATCGCTGGAGAGCACGGATGCCGATTGATATGTGAGCGGTGGCGGCTGCAGCAACGGATTGCCCATCATCTTCTGGTGGTGGAGCACCTGCTGCTGTTGCTGCTGCGCCAGCTGTACAGGCTGCACCTGCTGCTGCTGTTGGACCTGCTGCTGATGCTGCTGCTGCTGTTGTTGCTGCTGCTGCTGATGCTGCTGCTGCTGCTGCTGAAGCTTCCTGTTGGTCAGGCCCATGCCCAGTTCGCACTCACTGGTGGGCAGTTCGGAGCAGTTATCGGACTGATTGGTACCATCGGCGGAGACCAGCCAGGACACCACACGGCCATTGAAGCAGGGCAGTATGGTGGTGTCGTCGGCTATCTCCTCCTTGACCACACCAAAATCGGCGTCCATTGACTTGAAGAAGTACTTGTAGTTGTTGTTCTGCTTGTTCAGCACCAGCTTGAAATCGCGCAGCGTCACCTGGGCGGATGGAATGGGGATCTTCACCAGATACGGCGTCGTCTCATCGTCGATGTGGTATATCACCTTCGTCTCCTGCCCGCCGCCCCTGTCCGCGTCCATTTTTGCTGCGCCGACTGCGGAAATCCACGGAAAACTCGACGAAAAACACGATCAAGCCAAATGCGACGGTATCAACGCGGTGGGGTGGAGGGGAGGGGAAAGCACAGGAAAAACGAAATAACCAAGGGAAAACCCTTTACAAAATTCACTCGATTCTGCTTTTCTCCCCCTGGTCTCTCTAGCCCTCTCGCTCTCGCACGCGTTTCTTTTCTTTTTCTTTCTCTTTTTTTGGGCTGGGTATTTCGGTTCAATGGAAGCGGCGGCTGCGAATGCGTTTTGAGCGGTGTCGATATAGCTCCATTAGCTTGATTTCCAGCGCTTTAATGTCGGTGCACGTATCGGGGGCGGGGCGAAACGAGCATATTGCTAGTTTACCAATAATTTTGTTAGAATTTTGAGACTAAAAAAAAACAGTGTGTTAGCCGCTCTTCACGCACGGAATACCAAAGCGCCGGCCACCTGGTCACACTGGCAGCGATGCCAGACCACTGCAATCCCCATGGCATTTCGATTTTTCCCTCCTTTTCATCAAAAGAAATTTACCGGAAAAATTCCAAAACAAAACAGGATTAAGTCCATTGAGTTTTATTTCTAGTGGACAAAACTCTGGCCATCGAAGTTCGTTTTGCAATTTTAAAGTAGTTCATGCCCCTTTACAACAAAATACCAAAGCTATCGATAAGTATCGTTAAATTTCAAATAAGTATTCAAAACAAAGTGTACATGTTCCATTTATTAAAATAAACCATAAAGAGTACTTCCCCTCGCATATTACATGACAAGTCTTGCACTTGTTAGTTTTATAACTATAATAATTTGAATTCGTGGTAGAAAAGCTTTGTGCTTAACAATTAGAGCCCACAACCCTTTATATAAATTTCTCTGAGGAAACCCAGCCATTTGAACCCTGCGGTTCTTATCTTTCTTTACTTTCCATACAGAAATCAACAGCGTTGGCTGCATCAGTTTATTATTAGAGCTCCACGATTTCCAGATAACCCCGCATGCCATTTATCACACAATGGCGCTCGTTATTTAAATCAGTTTTCTCTTTTATTTGTATGCTTTAAAGGGGATCACTTAAATATACACTCGACTTAAAAGCTAGTCCTCCATTCCGGCGTAGACACATGTACGTCCGGCTTTACAAGATTAAATGAACTACGATAATTGCCGTTTAAAAAAGTGTTTCGAAAGTGGGGACTTGCGGGGAAGGAAAAGGGAGAAGTGGCGGGAGGCGGTATTTATTTCAACGTAGTTAAAATTAAAATCAGGATTGTTTCCTCGGCCGCACGGAACTTCGTATTCCCTTCGAGTTCGGCGAGCATTTTACGAATAATTATTTAGTATATAATTACAGGTGTGTCTGTATTTATGTATGTCCGTCTGCTGTTTAAGATATAAGGTATATAAAGTATATATATATATATACCTTATATATATATATAAGTCCTATATATATATATAAATATATATATATATGTGTCTATATATATATATAAATTTACGCTACACTAGCTATTACAACTAAGTTAATGGTTTTACAAAAAAAAACTTGTTTACTACTGCATAAAACAAATTATCGAGTGTCCGCTTTGTGTGTGTGTTTGCGTGTGTGTGTGTGTGTGTAAGAGGGTGCTGTGTGTGAATTATTTTTACAATGTGATAAGTGTGTCCACCTGCCCCAAGCTCACTTGATGTTGACCATCTCCACCAAGGCGCTGCTGAGCGACAGGCGATCGACGACGTCCAGCAGAATCTCCACATCCTTGATGGTGTTCACCGCTTCGGGGGCGCCCATCAGATTCACATGCTTGCCATCGATGTTCGCATAATAGCACTTGTTCTTGAAGATGATGGCCCGATCGTAGGGCACCCGGCACTTGCTCCTGTCCAAGACGGCGCGTCGGAAGAGCACACACGACGGCTGATACTTGTGGCGGTCCTCCTCGGCTATGTTGTACGCCTTGAGATCGCCGGTAAATATGGTCATTGTCTGGCGGGTCATCAGCGAGGGCGACACCTTGTACAGGGTAACCTTGCTCGTCCATTTGCCGGAGGGCAGCTTAATCCTGGACGCCACATTGGCCAGCTTGACCAGTGGCAGCTCCAGGCAGGTGCGCTGCTGGCGCGTCACCTTCGCCGGCGACTCCTTGGACGTGCTGAT